TTCTAAAATCAACACCTAAAAATTAAATATGGTATGTTAGGCAATCCTAATAATTCATTCTTGACTTTGAAGTTTACCAAAACTGATGTAAAAAATCGTATTTGTAACATTACAAAATTAAACTTGCCACAAACGATTCGTTGCAACGGTCAGAAATAAATATGCAATATTAATACATATGTCAAATAATTCACTCTGTAATGCGAAATTGTAAACTTGTAGAGATTTCTACCATTTTTGCAAAGATTATAAAATTTGAAAAAATCGTTGTGCAACACTTTTACCAAAATTTACGCTAGGTAAAATTAACTTCAGATAGATTCTCTTACAGCGTTATTAATGCCAGCGTGCATTAATTTTTACTTGTTTTTTTCTCCACCAGAATTTTGCACAAAGGTTTCATTTGATACCTAATCTATTGGGATTAAAGATTCGACTTCGACTGAATTGATTTGTGACAAAATTCTTCCTGTTGCGTTAGGACAGAGCATCAATTTTCGAAAAAGGTTCACCAACTTTTTGATTTCTCCTCGTAATATTTCCAAATTGGTGGGAATGTTTGGAAATTATGAAGTTTGAGAGGTTAGCATTGTTAAGATATAATTTTTTTTAAGTTTTCAGGAATGGTTTGATTCTTGAATTTGGTAACTTTTAACGCCAAATTAATTATCTAGAATATTATGCATTGTTAAGATATCAGTTTGTCCAGATTTTTAGGAATGGTTGGATTTTAGGTAAATTGTAACGCCAAAATAATTATCTAGAATAGTTTGCTTACGGTTTCAATTAATAGATGCGTTCGTTGTATACGACAATTAATACAAGATTGTGAATGAAATTGAAATTCACTCCGATGTTTGTAACCCAGTAAATAATTTTACAAATTTTTACAGAATAAATTAAAGCTGCGTTCGCTAACTGCGTAAGAATTACGAATCGAAACCAGAGTTTCTTTCGTAATTTTTGCAAATTGGTTGAAATGACAATTTTAACGATAAAAGTTAATTATTTAGTCTGCTGAAGTAATCAATTATTTCAATTGTTAGATTTTATAATTAATCTGTTATCTGCCTATTAAAATAATCGGGTTATTCGAGTTATGATAACACGCTAAATAAATTTGATCAAAATTTACTCAAGGTTGAGTAAAATTTGCGATGACACAACTGGTTGTGTATAATTTACCAAATGAAAGTTAAAATTTATCCAACGTTGTAGAAATTTCGCACAACCTTGAGTAAATTTTATCTTTGTTGAGTAAATTTTGCACAATCAATTGTGTCATCGCAAATTTTACTCAACTTTATTTAGAGTGTATTAAACACCTTCGTTAAGTAGGGATATGACAAAATTCACGTGGATGTTTGTAACTAAATTTGCAAATGTTTGTTTTTTAGCCTTATTGGTATCATAAATTTTTGAAAGCTTGTTACTCGAAAACGGTAGTAATAATTTAATAAATAGTTTAACTTCAAATGTAATATTTTTAAATAAATGTAAACTTTATTGAGGATTGAGTTTGGTCGGTTGCACTTTTAGAGATCATAAATTTAGTAACATGTTGTAAAACATCCTGTAAAATTTCTGCATTTTAAAATTCTTGATGAAAAGTTTTCATTTAATTTGCAGGAAAATTATATATTTTTGCATTTTTAATTTTAGAAAAAGGTTTACGTCAAATATAAGATTTTGTAATTACCTAATTAAATTCTGGGAAAAATTGAAATCGGTATTTCGAAGGAAGTTTTTCTAGAGAAGATAACTTTAGTTAAATGTGTTTAGTCGCGTTTCAATTCAATTTATTTCACAGTAAATAAAGTTGAGTAAATTGCCACCAAAGCAACTATTGAGCAAAATTTACCCTGACAAAGGTAAAATTTACTCAAGGTTGAGCAAAAATCTTTCAACCTTGAGCAAATTTTACCTTTGTCAGGGTAAATTTTAGTCAATAGTTGCTTTCGTGGCAATTTTACTCAAAACTGAGTAAATTTTAATCAAATGTATTTGAAACAAAGTTAGAGTCAGATGGAAGAGAGTTCATTTTCTTATTACGAACTTTCGAGCAATTTACTTTTAATTATCTTAGCAAAATATGTATGTTCAATTAAAAAACATCATCATTCCGCTAAAAATGATTTACATCTACGTGCAAGTTCAACTTTTTAATATAAATATTCTTGAAAATTTGTTCGTGACGTTAAAGTTGTCAAAAATGACGCAATTTATTTGCAATAATGCAAAATTAGACGAATGACACGAGCCTTTGTAACTGTCACAAATTAATATACAAAATAATAATATGCCAAATAATTCACTCGTAAGCTTGCTGAGATTTCCACCGCTTTTGCAAAGATTGCAAAATTTAAAAAAATATTTGCTCAGTTCAATACTTTCACCAAAATTTACATCACGTGAAATAAAGTTCAGATAGATTTCTTACAGCGTTACAAATGCCCGCATGCATTTTTTTCTACGTCATCACGCTTTCGTCCAGGTCTAACGTCTCACCTAATATATATTAGGTTCATCCGTATTAAAGATGACTATAATTAATTTATGACCTCAAGGTTTGCCAAAACTAAGATTCTTCTAAACATTAAAATTTTAGTGTCTCAAAATTTCACCAGCTCCCAAAAAATTCCGTATTTTTACAAAGATTACGAATTAGGAAAATAATTATTTTTCCTCTTCACAAAATCCGTCCTTTTTTTATTTGGACAGAACACATATTTTAGCGAGTTTATGAATTTTTTGCTAAATGTGTGCCCTTCATTAAATTTTTGATCTTTCCTTCGTACTCTTAATAAATTAGTAGGCATGTTTAAAAACCTTCCAGGTTTGATAGGTTAACATTGTTAAGATATCAATTTATCAAGGTTTAGAGAAATGGTAAATTTAAACGCCAAATTAATTATCACGAATATTTTACTTGGTTAGATACTTAATTCCAAGATGCTTTGGTTGTATACGACAAATAATACAAAATTGAGAAGGAATTCACTCCGATGTTTGCAACCCCGTAATTAATTTACCAATTTTTACAAAAGAACTTAAATATCGGTTTGCTAACTGTGTAAGAATTACGAATTGTAGTTCGAGTTTCTTTAGTAATCTTTGCAAATTGGTTCTAATGACAAGTTTAATGGCAAAAGTTAATTCGTAAGACTACGTTATAAGCACACTTTTAAAATCGAGTTACACACGCCCTGCAATGCAATTTTCATCGTTTTGAGCTTAACTTTTAAAAAATTAGTTAAATTTACAACACTCTTAGAAAACTGGTACTAAATAATTCCAGATCGAAATGCATGCATATATGACCCTGGGAATAACGGGTATTACCGTTTGGTAATGTTGTGGTAATGAAAAATTTACGATTCAGAAACAAACTATTACCAATCCAGTAGGAAGTATTACCAAATCAATGTCAGTACGAGTATGTAAATATGTGACTCTACCGGATTTTGAACAATGTATAGTATAACAGAAGTTGTATTTTAGGGAAAAAAATTGGCTAAAAACATTGTTCAATTAACCAAATTCATCAACCAGATTAAATATTGCCTGACGTCCCAAAGTGAATAAGAGAAGCTGATTGGGTTCAAGTGTAGATAAAATTTTTCATAGTTTTCCCCGCACCATAATCATCTAGTGAATATTTAGAATTTTTCGGATTTTGAAGAAATGAATTTAAAGGTTTTAGAAAGAAAATTGATACATTTTTGGATTTTTTTAATTTTAGACATAGGTTGACGCCAAATGCAATATTTTGAAATAAATGTAAACTTTTATTGAGGATTGAGATTGGTCAATTGCACGTTTAGAGATCATAGTTTTAGTAAAATGTTATAAAAAATTCTATAAAATTTCTGCATTTTTTTTAAATTCTTGTTGAAAAGTGTTTATTTAATTCGATCCTATTTTTCCTTTAAAATTTTTAAAAACATGTTGCGTGCAAACGGTAACACTTCCAAGGAAAAGTTTTACATGTTAACTAACGTCTCAAAGGGTTGAATTGTGGATAAGTTTTGTCATAGTTTTCAATGCATGGGAATTATGAAGTAAGTATTTTAAATTTTTCGGATTTTGCTTATGCACGAAGAAATGAATTTCAAGGTTTTGACACAGGAAATTTATATATTTTTGTATTTTTAATTTTAGAAATAGTTAGACGTCAAATATAAGATTTTGAATTAAAATTTGTGAAGGATTGAGATAAATCGATGCAAGTTTTTTTAGAGCAGTCAAATGTTATAAAAAATGATGTACAATTTGTGTATTTTAAAATTCCTGATAAAAAATATTCATTTTATTACATCCCAACTTTCCTGCAAATTTTTTAAAACTTGTTGCGTGCAAACTGTTGACTGTAATATCTCAGAAGCCAATTTTTTTTGCAACCGCAGGGAAATAAATTAACCAATTTGTTACTAAATAATTGAATCAAATATGTATCCTCTATCGCTTGGAGCATGTTTGTAACCTGATTTTCCTTTCTAATTTTTCGGAGGTGGTGAACATTTTTGGATGGAAGTTTACATTTCAGGAGCCTATGATTAAGTTGAATTGTGTGTGAAATAATAAGGTTTTGTTAATTTTTTGGTACTCTTGAGGATCAAAAATTTAAAATATCCTAAGCATTTAACTTAATTATTAGACAATTTAGGAGGATCATTTAAAAGTAAAGTAATTTTGGTAAATGTTGGGCTAAAACGTAAAAAAATTGTATGTAGTGTAATTATAAAAAATGCATGTGCGACTATTATTCTCCTGGAAAATATTGATATATTTTGATGGAATAATTTGTCTCATAAAAAAAGTAAGCAAGTTTATGCTATGCAAGGTTTTTTTCGTAACATTGAAAAATTTGTAAGTAGCTGACAGGACAGATTTCGAAAAATTACGCTCGAAATCTGCATAGACTTTCATTAACTGATTTTTGGAATTTTTTAAATAAATTTTGTAACTATTTTTTGCGACATTGCCAACAACTTGTTTAGTTAATTGTGTAATTAGTGATTTATTAGATATTTAATAATTCCAGTAATTTATGTAAACATTTATAAACCCGAGATTTCTTAGTTGTGAATTCTTGGCGTGAATTTCAACTCCAAGTTGGCAATTGGTCGGTTTAATCCCACTTTTGTATCGATTTTGATCGGAATTGGAGTTTTTGGAGTTGGTTCGATGTGAAAGTAGTACACGAAATAGGCGATGGCCACTTTCGCTTCGAATAATGCGAATCTCATCCCTGCAACAATAAATTGAAATTAGGAAAAAATTCAGATTATTAATTCGCTGAAATTGTGGGTAAAAAATTGGTTTTTCATGTTAGACCGTGAAACTTTTGTGAAATTTTTGTCACTAGCCTTAATTTAAATATTCTCACGTAAGCAAATTTTTGCAAAATTTTGGTGTAAGATTTTATAAACTTGAGCATCTTACGAAGATGTGATAAATCCATCATGGTATTTTTAGAGTAGAATTAATATTGAACAAAATTACGTTCGGAATTAATGAGGTAATTCACGCAGGCCTTGCTAACATTGTAAAATCCCTAAATTCTGTAAACTTACAAACTTTTTCAAAATTTTACAAATATTTCTGATGAAAATTTTAAAAAATTGTAAAAGTTTACAAAATTGTGTTACAAAATTTACGCATTTTACAAATCACTGCGTTAATTGCTTCAATATTGTTCAAAATTGCAATTCTAAAACTTATTTTCAAAATACGATTGTGTCAATCTTCATAATTTACAAAATATATAAATATATTTACCAATGCAATTTCTGGGTCCCATTCCGAACGCGAGGTACGAGTAAGGATGTCGTTTGGCCTTATTTTCCTGGGTAAATCGTTCCGGATCGAATTTTTCGGGATCTGGGTAAATTCGGGGATCCATGTGAATTCCGCCGGCAGGAATGACCACGATTTGATCTTTCACAATGGTCACGTCAGAATCGGGAATTTTGTATTCCATGACACACTTTCGCTCCAACCGGTTTGCGGGTGGGTAAAGGCGCAAAATTTCTGAAAATTTTGAAATACTTTTTGAAATTTTGAAAGACTATAACAAAAAACTAAGAATACAGTGGTTAGTCATCCAAATAATCAAAATCTTTTTGACGAATTTTGGTGTGTTACTTTTAAGGCGACTAAATCAATATTTTAGTAGAATTATGAAAGTTAAGAAATTTGGAAAAAGTTTTCGAAATAATTTTTCAAGTTTTGAAATGAATATTATTAAAATTGGAAATATTTTTTAAACGCAAAACTTAAATACGTAATACCAACATTCAGACCAATGTCATCTAAGGAGTAGAAGGTCACTACTTGTCGGGCCCCGATTTCGATCTCCTTTGGATATGTTGTAGTACCACATGAGTGTAGAAAAAGTGAAGGAGGGTTAGACTCCATGAGCCCATTTACGCCCGCCACACCCCCTCAAAGGCGCCCAAACCCCCAGAGTCGCCGCACTAAAATCATCCCCAAAAATCGAGTTTTGGTCAGATTTTCAAAAAAATTACATTTTTGTGACCCCAGATAGTTGCTCTATTATATCCAATAGCAAACTCAACTTTTTTGAAATTTCGAATTTTTTCAATACATAGCTTGGTCAGAAAATCTTCGAAAATATTGAAAATTTCAAAAAAGTTGAGTTTGCTATTGGATATGATAGAGCAACTATCTGGGATCACAAAAATGTAAATTTTTGAAAATCTGACCAAAACTCGATTTTTGGGGATGATTTTAGTGCGGCAACTCTGGGGGTTTGGGCGCCTTTGAGGGGGTGTGGCGGGCGTAAGTGGGCTCATGGAGTCTAACTCTCCTTCACTTTTTCTACACTCATGTAGTACTACAACATATCCAAAGGAGATCGAAATCGGGGCCCGACAAGTAGTGACCTTCTACTCCTAAATACTTTATTGGTTTTATTTTAGTACGCATCTAGGATTTTTTTTGGTGTAAAACTTGCTCAATTTGTCGCAAACTGATTTGTAAAAATTGCGAACATTTTCTGTTTTAAATTTCCAAAATTTCAAATTCAAAAAATTGAGACTGATTTTACTATGTATCTAACTTATTCAATTTTTCGCAAGCTTCTGTTTCTGAAAAAATGTAAAAGCTGGAATCTTACATTTTCTTTTGTAAATTTCCAAAATTTCAAATTCGGAAACTTGACATTTATTTTGTAATGTACCTGAAATGAGCATGTCCATATATTCCAATCTGACCACGGTTTCGTACTCGATTTCTTCCCCGCTCGCCTCCATCGATGTTTTAACTTCGTCGTAAACCTTCTCTTGCACATCTTGATGAACGGCGAGCAAATAGGCCGCGAAATTTAAAAGAGCGCCCACCGTGTCGAATCCGGCCGTAAAAAAGACGAAACTTTGCGCAATTGTGAGATTATCGATGAACAGTTTTTTCCCCGTAGTTGTCGCAGGTTTTAGATCGGTTTTGAGGACGGCGTCCTTCTCGAAAGTGTCGAGTTCCTCGGTTCCGTCAGATTTCAATTCTCCCGCTCTGGCTTCGACTAATAGTTGGAGAAAATCGTTCCTCTTTTCGCCCGTGGTTTCTCTGGAGAAAAATGAAAATTTATGAGATGTGGCTAAAAATACGTACTGTTTCAAAATTCACTGAGGCGGTTTTAGTGCAGTTCATACCCCACAGTTCATCTCCCATATTGTATTCCCTCACATTTCATACCAAAATGTGAGGGATTGCAGTGGGGTGGAATGGAATGAAATGTGCTGGGTATCAAAGTGTGATGATATGAAATATCCGGAATTAAATTTTAGGGATGAAGTGTGGGATATAAAGTGCCGAGGCACTCATTTGAGGTAATTTACGCAGTCATTTGTCATCGGGATCTCCGTTACCTAATCAGCCTTTTATAACTGCACTCTAAATAAAATCATTACCAAATCATTACCAAAATGCACACGTATATGACTCTGCAGAAACGGTAATAATAACCACCGGCTGGTAAAGAAATTTATTGAACCCGAAGTGGTAATAAAGAACACTTTTTGGGATAAAATTAATACCATGATGTATGACAGATGTACTACAATATGTAGTAAAATATCTACCGCCTGGTAATAAACCATACCACTTTGTGAACGGTGTGCTATTCACCCCGGTATTAATGCTTTGTATTACGTATACCCCATTATTACCAAATGTTGTACAGATTTCCACCGAAAAGAATAGATTTTTTTGTTTCTCTTTACAATAATCTTTCAATCAATTATATTTATTGCAAAATCATTTTGAAACATGCTTGCATAATTATATTATTAAATTATTAAATTAAAAAACTCAAATTATAAAATACTTAAATTATAAAATTAAAGTATAATGCAAACTATAGTGTTACATACATACACATGTATACAGATTTACATAAAATTTAAATTAAGCTAAATATTTTAGAGTTTTTGTCGTACACTTATATAATTACCAACCGTTTTACAATTTTGCATTATTTCAAAGCAATCATGTATATATAACTCTTTCACGTTAGCAATACTAAACATAGAATCCGAGTATTTAACTTTAAATGAAAAATAATGTCGATCGAAGTAATCTACATGCAATTCCTGGACGACGAAGAAACAATTGTCATCGTTTGTTAATATAATTTCAGAAATTAATGCAAAGTTTGGATAAATATCTCCCATGCTAAGACATATCACAAAGTTTAATTTATAATTATAATGTCGGTACCATACTTGATTTGATGTAAATATATCAGTTTCTAAATCACAATTTACAAACTCTGGAACCTTTCTTAACAACTCAATTACGTCAAATGAGTTTGAAAAATGGGATAATTTTACACAATAAATGTTGTCACATCTTATTTCTTCAGATGCAGTATTTTTGAACATAACTGAGCTATACTGCTGGTGCCGCATTGCCAAAGAATAACAGATTTGGCTTATCATCTTTAAAAATCTTATCGCCATTCTATTAATCAGCTTGCTGACTGCGAAATCACTTGATAGAATTTTTATATAAAATCCCAGAACAGAGAAATGAGTAAAAACGTGCAGATTTTTACACACATGACGTCACAGGCGAAGAGTCACCTAATCCAACGTTAAATACATATTTAAAAAATACCGTGTTCTTCCGACAAAAACTTTAAAAGCGCTGAGATTATTTTCTTGCTTACTTTACTACCTATTAAGATGGTGTATACATATGATAATTTTATACTTACCTGTTTCCAAAAATTCCGTATAATTTCCAGATGTTTTTATCAGTTTTTTTCCACGGGCAGAATTGGACACGCGAATTAATTTCGCCATGTTGACTCGAGTTGAGCTGAGCGAAAACTAAAAGTGAAAAATGCGCCACTGAGTAGCGTCTCACAATTCATACCAAATGTATTAAAATGCCTGACTCTATGGTAATAAACTACACCAAAATGTAGATCTCATCAGCACCACAACGGGAAAAATTTTTACTACACTTAATGAAAATTATGGTAAAGAGTGTTATCTAAATTTGTAGGATATAATTACCGGCTCGTAGGAATTTATTACCAAAATTATAAAGATAACTTAAAACATTGCGGTGGAAGGCTAGTTACCCGTTTGGTATTGATACGGTAATAACCCCGTATAATTTTTGTAGGACGCGTTATTACCAAGAGCTCGGTAAAGACGGTTATTAAGAATTCTTTACCAAGTTGCTAAGAGTGTGTAATTTGCCAATATTTCAATTTGACGTGTAATTTTCGCATACAAATAATGCGACAATTCACCCAGTCATTGATAACTTTTTAAAATTAGAAAATTTTGTAAAATTATTTTACAACCTTGTACAAAATAAAAAGACGCCCTTGATCTGAGCAAGTTTACAAAAATTTATAACCTAATGTTCCTTCGAAATATTTCTAAAATTTTGTCAAATGCATGGTTTTGGAAGAAATTAATGCATTTTCATTTCAATCAATTAATAGAAAATAGACTAATACCACGAATGACTCGAATCTTTTTAACCAGAAAAAATTAATATGTTGATAGAAACAAGACGAATGTAAGATGTTTATAAACTTTGTAAAATTATGTAGTCCCTCTTTTCAATCTTGCAAGAAAATTAGGTTCACATGGATGAAGAGTTTCTTTTCTTATTACTGCGTTACAAACATTCGAGTGATTTACCTCTTTTGCTGTTCGCAATACATGTTCGCTCATATGAGCAACGAACATTAAAAAATTCACGACCTCACTCCATCCGATGTATCTATCAAATTTCACAAGAATAACGAATAATAATATTTGCAACAATAAAAAATCACAAGTCTTCGCAGCTGCAACAGTTAAAAAAATTAATTTGATAATAATTATGCCAAACAATTCATTCTGTAATTCAAATTTGGTAAGTTTGCCAAGATTTCCACCGCTTTTGCAAAGCTTACAAAATTTAAAAAAATCTTTGTGTCATATTTTTATCAAAATTTACACCAGGTTCTATTTTCTTACAGGGGTTACAAATATCCACGTGCATTAATTTAATTTACATTTATTTTTCTCTATATCATCATAATTTTGTATATTTAGCCCACCTGATATATAATCAGGCGAAATTAATGATTGACTCTGAAATCTTTTCGGAAAATTTCGGAAAATTCGGAAAAGTTTTTCCAAAAAATTCCGTATTTTTGCAAAGCTTATGAGGGAAAATATCATTAGTGTTTTTTTAACTATTTTTTTTACTCCTTACAAAATTCCCCTTCTTTTATTGGGACAAAGCATATATTTTAGCCAGTTTATAAATTTTTGTGCTAAGTATGTAGCTTCACAAATTTTTTGATTTCTCCTGTAATATTTACAAATCAGTGGGAAATTTGGAAATTTGTCAAGTTTGACAGGTTAGAATTGTTAAGATATCAATTTTTTAAGGTTTTCAGGAATGGTTTGATGATGGGTAAATTTTTATTTTGATTTAAATTTTGATTTAAATTTAAATTTTAACTAAATTTTAATTTTTGGTAAATTTTAACGTCAAATTAATCATTTAGAATACTTTACTTCATGATTTAATTAAAGATGTTCAGGTTGTACACTATTGCAGAATAACTGGCTGAATAGGATAAAAAATCTTCCGCTCTACTCAATCTGCTGATCACGTGACAGAGCCGAAAAACCAGCACCGTAATGATGTCGAATTATCCTATTATTTTACGCTCGTTTATTTTATTTTGGCGTTTACATTATTCAATTCTGGTCAAGAATTTAGGTAATTGACTGATTTTTACGCCAAAATAAAATAAACTTGTGTAAAATGGTGCAATGAATTTTGTTTGTGATAACGTGTGCTACGGCGCTGTTCTTAAAATCTCATAATCACCCGTAATAAACTTAAAAGCGGTCAGATTTTGAATTTAAGTCTATCCTATCCAACCAGTTATTTTACAATACAAGATTGCAAATGAATTCACTGAAATTCACTACGTTTGTCATCCAGTAAATAATTTTATTACCAAATTTTACAAAAAGATTAAAGATGTGTTCGCAAGAAATACGAATTGTAGCCCGAGTTTCTTTCATAACCTTTGCAAATTGGTTGAAATTGTTAAGTTCTGCGATTAAATTATCATTCACCATTTAAAATGATCTTCTTTACAATGATTTTCGTTGAGCCGGAATGCGACAAAATTCGTGCGGATGTTTGTAACTCAGTTTGCAAATTTTTTGCAAAATAAATACGTATTTACAAATTTACTAGACTTGTAACCCAATTTTTCTTCACAATCTTTATAAACTTGACGATGCGTTCGTAATTTTACAAAATTTACTACACGAGACCCTCACCAATTATACATTTAACGCAAAAATTTCGCACAGATGTTCGTAAACCAGTTTGCAAATTTTTGTAAGTCACATTCTTACAAATATTTACGACAGATTTGTAAACACCTGCAATTTTCTGGTTTTTGTCCATAATCTTTACAAATCGAGGAAACTTTTGTAATTTTACAAAGTTTACTTACAAACACCTTCACTAATTATATATCAGTTTAATTGGAAAAATTACTCACCTGTTGTACAACGCGGCTCGCAAAATCCCCGTAAAAAAGTTCATAATTTCCGCATCCATAATTTTCAATCCCACCACTTTAGCAAATTTCGGGACAAAGAATATAAAAATGTTCCGAACAACCCTCCACATCGTGACGTCCGAAAGTTTTCGAGCCATTTTCAAAAATTCTGAATCCTTATCCTTCAAAGCATTTGTGTCCATGCCGAACGCCGTGGCGCCAATGACATCAACGGTAAAACGGTTAACGACATCTTGAATGGTGACGAGATGTCCGTTGTCACTGGTCGGATGACTTTGGACGCATTGGACGAAATTTTTGCCGCACGTGTTAAACTGTTCGAACATCTGTTTCATTTTCCCCGTGGTGAACGCGGGACTTAGCACGGAACGGACATCCTTCCATTTTTGACCTTCCAGATTGAGAACGGTTTCTTGAAAGGTGGGTTCGTCGAAATTTATGGGTCGCCGGTCGACAAAATGGTCGAAATCTTTGACGAGAATTTGTTTAATGAGGTCTAAATCGGTGACCATTAAGACGGGGGAGCGGAATTCCATAATTCCCCCAAATCTGGGGGGAGGGGAGGACACGGAGGTAAATTTTTCGTAGTATGCGCGATCCATTCCGATCAAGGTTTTCTTCTTGGTGAAAAGTTCGAATAAGGTGGCTACTTCGGAGGAGTAGACGACCTAGAGAAGGCAGAAAGGTTTAAAGGAAATTTGAGTAAAGTGTGTAAAGTTTGTGAACTGTGCAAATTTTGTACGCTGTGCAAATTTTGTAAAGTGTAAAGTGTTTGCAAAATAATACAAAAAAGAGTTATTTTAAAATTTTTAAATACAAGGTTTACATGAATTTTAAAGACAAAAAATGTATAGATTAATTGTACGCTGTGCAAATTTTGTAAAATGTGCAAATTTTGTAATTTTCAAAGTAGTGGAAATTTAAAGAAATTCTGTGATAATTGTGGAATAGAGTTTTTATATTTCTGAAATTTTTGGAATATTGTAATTTCAGTTTATTTAGTAGATAATGGTTTTGCAAATTTCTTGCAAATTTTTTTGCGCAGCGTAAGACTTCGAAGTCAGTGTTATTTATAACAACAAAATCCTACCGAAATGTTGCTTTAGGTGAAAACAAATGCAATGCTCTCCCTGAGCGAATTTGTAAATATTTTGTTAATTACAAAATTATTTAAAACTATTGTTTTCGAAAAATAATTAATGTAAGGGTATATATTTTTTTAATAATTTTTTGGTAGTAGAATTGTGCACATAATTGCACACTAATTTTGCAGACGTAATAAAAGCATGAAAAATTTCAAAAGTTTTCATGAACAGCGAAACTCTAGGAAAATGGGGATTCGATATGATTTTTAAAAAATGACCAACCTTGACATTCCTTTTCGGCCAGTAAGAATTATTTCTGGTGAGATAAAGCTTTAGGAGTTGGTAGATAAGCACCACCGTCGCCACGATAAGGCCCAGAGTCCACCACATTTTAGAAATGTGTTGTTTTCTTTATGTCCAAATTGCAACCTTAAAATATTTTGAGACATTATTTTCAAAATCAAATATATTTTCATGAAAAGTTCAAAATAATATTCTAAATTTTAAAATTCCCAAATGATTCTTCTCTTTTATTTACTTTTTAATATCACACGTGTGAAATTACAACATGGGATAAAATTATGTTCAAAATCAGTCAGTTCAAATAGGTTTTCATGAAAAATTCGAAATTATTTTCAAAATTTTTGAATTTCCAAATGATTCCTTTATTTTCCTTTTTTACATTAGTTATAAAATTACAAATAAAAAGGTACTAAATTTGTCAGGAACCCAGTCAAATGTTCAAAATCAGTCAGTTCAAATATTTTTCATAAGAAGTTCAAAATTATTTTCAAAATTTTCAAAATTACTTTTCTGTTATACATTTTGATATCATAGTTGTAAAATTAAAAATAATAAAATACCCCGTTTTTTCAAGAATAAAACCGAAGCACACCTACAAATTAAATTATTAACATAAAAAACATTGTTTTACCAAAACCGGCGTCTCGTCTATACGAGAAAATTCAATTCTTTCCGTATTTATAACCACACCACAAATTCGCAATGTTGCAAATTATTGCACAATTTCACTCTGAAAATTGTCTTCTAGAGTCCACGTCTCCTAGAATAATTAATTGTCCGAGTAAACAACAAGCTTGTGATTTATTTAGGAACAAATGCTGACGAAAATGTGTTAAACAACAAGTACGTACGCACATATATTAGTCATTTTATTCCTGCTGGATGGAGACCCCTTTGCAAAAAGGATGTGACCAATTTTCGCCTAAATTTGACCTTCAACCTTCCAGTTTTTTATGCTCAAATTAACACGGAAAAATTACGAGGATACTTTAACCTCTGACACGCACAAATTGATCGCATCCTTTAAGCACGGTCCAAAACTATGTTGTAAACTGTGCCGTATTTTACTTGACAACACGTATTTTGTATGTAACAGTTGGTGGTTTGCTTTGGTTTAGTGGAGATAAAAAAAGTGAGAAGAATAACAAAGCCTTGTGAGACCATGCGGAAAGGATGGGATGGATTTGGACCAGTTTTTTAAAGTAATTGTGGTGTAATTTGATATGAAAATGAGCCATGAAAAAGGATAAGATTGGTGACAACTTAACGATCGACCCACCCCTAACGTAAAATGTCATGGTCAAGGTCGATAGAAGCAAAGCTGACGAGCGAGTCCATGACCAGGCTTAATGAAAATGGCCATGAAATATGTAGCAGGAAAGATCATTTAACATTTTGAACGTAAATAAATAAAGATTTGTGCATATTTTTGCATAATTTTGTTTCCAGTAAAATTGTGCGTAAAGTTTGGAAAAATTATGAATTACTTGTTGTCATGAAAGTGTAAAATGTTTGCAAAATAATACAAAAAAGAGTCATTTAAAAATTTTTAAATGCGCAAAGTTTACATGAATTTTAAAGACAAAAAATTTGTAGATTTATTGTTTTGAGAGCAATTATGCACAAAAACGTAACGACAAAAGATTTGAGAAATTAATTACGCATAAAAAATGAAATGGAGAGATTAATATGTACGGATGAATATTTTCTGAAAAAAAAACTTGCACAAGTTTACTTTCGATAAAAATATGTGTACACATGTAAATATTTGTGCACACTAAAACGTTGACGCAAAAAGGATCCCAAAAATTAATTTAAAATAATAGCTTTGCACAAAATATATCAATCGATATCTGGAGAGACAATTTGTAAAACTTTGCGAAATAAACCTTGCACAACGTTATTTTCGATTTAAATACAAAAAACTTTCCCATACTAAAACATAAATGCAAAAAAATGCTCCCAAAAATTAATTTACAACATCCTCACTCATAAATATGTGCAAATTTGCAAAAATAAAAGCGCAAAAAGATGCTTAGCAAAGCGTGGTTTCGATCCACGGACCTCTGGGTTATGGGCCCAGCACGCTACCACTGCGCCACTTTGCTCGATTGAGTTACTCTGCTGCCTTTAGTGGGTGATGAAGCAAACGGGAAAAAGACGATCGATACGGTGCAACCCGTGCGTAAAGGATGTTGTCGATTTTGGCTGAGTTTATCAAGTCACGTAGAAGTCAAGGTTATATCTTGAGGCTGCTTATCTTCACCTTATAAAATGGGGTTGGTTGGTACATAGAAGAATTGATGATATCCATTATGCCCGGCCCTTTTTGGCAAGAATGTGTAAAAAGACCCTGAAATCTTATAAAAATCATGAAATCTTTTGTAATTTTACGAATTTAAGGATAAAATTGAGATTGAAAATACGATTTTTTAATGAGCGAGTTTTTGAGGACAAATTGCTCTGATTATTATTATAGCATTTTATTTGTAAGAATAAATACAGCACTTGACATGAATTCAAGGGAGCCGTGGTTCGATTCCCGGCTGGGTAACAATTTTTGGCATTATTCGGGATTTACGTATTTGATTTCTAAATAATTGTGCAATTTTGAACCCTTCTGCAGCTGGAGTGTCCCCCAACTCTTCCGTGAGTGACTTCGAGCTTATCGAGGTCACCGACTCCCCAAGGAAGATGGCAATCTCACCCAAATTCCTCCTCCTTGTCGCCACCAGCGTCTCGATTTTGGACCGGATCTCCCCCTCGGATGGTAGTAAGTATCAAAATAGTTAGAAAAAAGTTGTCGCGACGCATGCAGAACAGGGGTCAACGCCGTCAAATTTTGCAGTTAGGGTGGCGCCAAGTTTGCGGATTTTTTACGCCGATTGCGCGGCGACAAAATAACTGAAGGAATAGGACGTCAGATTTATCCGTAGTGGCGTCGCGTAAAATGCTTTGACGTTCAATCGTCGGCGTTGACCTCTGATGCAGATTATATTTTTTTAATGATTTATAATATAAATTTTATATAATTTTATTCAAAATACGACTGATTTCAAACTTAATTGAATATAAAAACCTTGTAAAACTTGAATCTTTTCCTTCTTTCTTCCCACAGATTTACACTGCTACATGTGTCAAGGTAAAGTTCAACCGGGACCAAAGACTGGGAGGCAGGGACCATCCATCCGCAATATATCCGACAACATCGAAATTGAAGGGAAGTACATCGATAAATATTATCACTCCTCAGAGTGCTCGGATTTTAATGAAACGACCAAAGACGATCCGAACAATATGGGAGAATGTCCGGACAATTGGAAGAGTAAATAAAATTTTAAATTTCCTGATTCAAAATTTCCTCCAATTTATTTTGAAGTCTTGTTCAAATCGTTGTTCAAATCAGATCCGTTTTGTTTTGTCCACAGGAAGGAAGGTGCCGGGTGCGAGGACAATCACAAGCTGTTCGGACTACCAAAGTTTGGATTACCGGAGGACATGTCGTGTAACGTGGTCGGGTGCAAATGTAATGACGGAAACTATTGCAACGGTCCCAAACTTCTATTGATCGCAAAGGACGAAGTCAGCAAGGCGAACGATGTGAAGGGCGCAACCAAACTGAGCGCCGTAGTGGTCACCGCCGCGCTGGGGGTCACTTACATGGGGCGACGATCCTCTGGGGGAGTGTGAAGGGGACCAATACCCCGCAAATTCAAATAATACCTCACGTAACGATCAGGTTTCCGGAATTTTAGAAAAAATCAAGGAAGTGTTCGAAGAAACGATTTATTAGTCCTGAGTGCAGTGCAAAATTGCAGTGTCCAATTTTTTTATTACTTGAAACTTGATAAGTTACTTATCATAAGTTATCAATGATAACCAATCCGGCAAAATTATTATAAATAAATTGTAACATCTGCTTGTTTGCCACATTACATTTTGAACTTCAAATTGAATTTACAGAAGGAATTGGAACGTTTTATCGATTGAATAAAAAAGTAACAGAATTTATTCAATTAATTGGTTTCCGCACTTTGTTATGAATATTTTAATATTTTACAAAAATGCGCATTTTATGACTCGCGAGTTCTTAACAAATTAAAAGTTCTCATAATCAATTTACTTCGTATTACGAAGCGACACTTTTTTTTAACTTTCCAAAATCGAAGCTCAATTTATAACTACTGAACATAAATAAGAGTTGTAAGCCTTCCCATTTCAACCATGGCTTGTTAGCTGACTGGTCTCTGTCTAGGATTGTGCACTTTTGATGAAACAATGACGAGATTCGAACTCGAAACTAACTCTGAATTTGTAATCTTTGAATGTAGATTATCATGCCAAATGTCTTTAACGAATCGGCGTTACGCCAGTGCAGCCGTCATATCGGATCATCATTTTAACAATCAAGCTGAGACTACGGAGGGCATTGCCTCGTCGAGAAGACCGAAATTACGGGAACTAATAGATTGTAAGTGATAAAAAAATACGCAAAAATCAGACAGAGAGTAGTTAAAAAACTAGCCAAAAATTTTTGGTCTAAATTTTCTACCAGAATTTTAAATCCCTTGAAAATACGAGTGAATTTTGATTTACCTCTTTGCCTAATTGCAGAAATCTTCGCCGCTGCCGTCCGCGATGAAAGTAGGTTTCACAGTGGATAGTAGTGTTAGATTTTGACCAAATCAGTGTCAAACAATCACGAATTTAATTTATATGAAATTTGCAAGAAAAGTTATCCGAAAAATGAAATGGTTATCAAAAATGGTCACGTTTCGCAGTGGTATTGCATCCAATGAGGAGAAAACGTAAAGTTGATAAATTTTAAACTTTTAAATTTACTGTGGGAGGATTTAGTAGATAATATGTGAAGTATTGAGATTTAATTTTGTAAAGCATTTCAGGTCATACTGTAAAATATTGTGGCAATTCATAATCATGCTGGCTTAAGTAACATTGTAACATCCGAAAATTTCGTAAACTTACCAACTTTTATAAAATTGTATAAATATTTCTGAAGAAAATTAACATATGAATTATGTTTGTAAAATTATATTACAATACGCACGGGTTTCACAAATTACCAAGAACTGCGTGAAATTTCCTCAGTATAAGTTAAACGCCGGAATAGATTTTGATAAAAATGAATCTAACGATTGTGAAAGAAGGTTCAATTATTTCCCACGATAAAATTCCATCATATATTTGAAACTTTGATTTAAGTAAGGGTAAGTACTTGTACCTACCGTATGATACCGTAAATCATAAAGATGAGTACCGTACAAGGAGGTGATAATGTCAACTTTGACGGGCTAAAACTACCAGAAGCGAGCATTACGTTTCTTAGCTTTTTTGCCATAAAATCAGTCATATCCTCATCTGTACGTGTGCAAAAAAGCTAAGAAACGTAATGCTCGCTTCTGGTAGTTTTAGCCCGTCAAAGTGGTGTGGGTTTTGAAAATTTTGCAAAATATTTGGGAAAATTATAAAAAGACCAAGGAGACTGTCGTCATGCGACCCCGTGGTCAACAAAACTCTGCTGTTTTCTTGAAAGTTAGTTTTTAGCCCGAGTCTGGGCTTATGGAACGCTCATGTCCGTCTGTTCGCCCGTCCGGCCCATCTACACGATAGAACCAAAACGGCCTAACAGATTGACTTTAAATTTTCACCATATGCATATTGGGTAAAACTTTGCAAAGTTAGGAATGGAGTTCGAAGATAGGCGAAATCGGTCAAGTGGTTGACCGGTGGGGGTCATCGGAGTGGAATTATGCACCAAAATTTCAAAATTGTCATAGAAAGCTGAAATTTGGTACAGAGATTGCTAATGGCTTCTAATGAAAGAATGTGAAGTGAAATTGGACAATTTTACAACCGGAGGTACCCTAGGGGGTGACCCATACCGATTTTTCAAAGTCGTCATATCGAGGTGAAATTTTGCATCGAAGTTGCTTATGGCTCTTAAGGGAAGAGTATAAATTGAAATTAGAAAATTTTTCATCCGGAGGGACCCTATGGGGTCACCCCCTCCGATTTTCAGAAATTAACTTGAATAGCTGAAATTAGGAATTAGTCC